TTAAAATACTGCTAGGTTTAATGGAGTTCCGCAGTAAAAAGTGGTTTCCATTGTTTTGTGTCTCTGGTAAAATAGCCCAACAATCTTGCACAATCCTTTGTTGCAGTTGTTCAATTGTGTCCGATTGGGTTTTGAATACAATGGATTTCAAATGACCCCATAGAAAGAAATCGAGCGGTGTCAGATCTGGTAACCTAGGTGGCCATTCAATGGGTCTCCTCCTACCAATCCCTTGCTCCAGATAATGATTATCCAACCACTCTCTTCTATTATTCTGTCTAACATTTCCCCATACATTTCACCATTTAAATATACCTATGAATTCATGGCAACATAATATTACATAATATAATACCTGTTCTTGGTATTTTACTGTTGAGTGGAGACTTTTTTAATCAACGCTTTTAATAATGCTGTTTAAATTTTTACTGAACTTTCATGTAAATCATTACTAAAATGTGGATTAATTATATCTAATGGCTACAATTTATATTTACAGAGAATGTATGCAATTTATTTTTCATTCGGATTTCCACTGTTTATTGGGAAACCGATAAAAACTCAACCCAGGATTTCGTCTCGAAAAACACCCAACAACACAACAAATCGTGCCAAGGTTTTTTTCGATATTTTTAACATACGCGTTTGACAGCTACTTATTAAAAGCTGAATTCTTGTTATGAAAATAACGGCCACTTGGTGGCGCTACTAGCGTATTATAACCTTACACTGATATACCTAAAATTATTTTTTGATTTTATTTTATGACTATACTAAGTCAATTATAAAATTTTTAGAAATTTTGTGAATTTCACCTTTGTTTTCAAATACATATTATACACTCACCAGACAATTTTATAGTGTTGTTTGTTGATTTTAATATTTTCAAAGTTTTCCAATTTACAAAAAAAAAATTTTTTCCAAAACTTTTAAATTCTGGAAATCAATAGTCATTACGCCATCTGAAAGGTGGAATTTAAAAAAGGAAGAGTTGTACTTTTAAAAATTAAATCGTTTTAACGGATCAAAAAAGTGATTTTAACAATAAAATTGGAACTGAAGATGTTAAATTGTTATAATTGTATGTAGATCAATAAAATCAGCTATTCGTAGATAATGTACAATTTAATGCAATTATTTAAAATATAAAAAAACCATTTGTTACTTTTAAGTAAAGTAATGAGTTCGTTTAAACTTAGTTCGTTTGTAGTGTTGTGAAAATAGAATGGAGCTGTCGTTAAAAATTAAACAAAAGCAGTTTTTAGGATTAATTAAAAGTGCAACGAAGCAAATGAATGCTTCCTTTGGAGCGTGATTAATTAAACAGTCAGCTGCGGGTCCTTCAAAAGGACCTTTCTCTTTTTTTCCCATCGTGGAATTTGATGCTTAGTTTAACATTTGGTTTTCACAATCTGACCCACTTCGTGTTTGACAGATCGATAATAGAGAAGGGAAGACGGTAAACACGTTAAACTTATTCGATATAGCCGGAGTGAATCAGCGAAATAAAGAATCGGCGAAATAGTCGTGAAATTTCCTGTTCGGTATTTACACACAAATACCTCAATTGAATTTGAGCACGCGAGGCAGCATCCGAACCGAATCCGTGCGAGCTTGTTGATGCCGGACCGTGGGGTATATTACTTCCGGACGACCGAAAACGGCCAAATAAACGAATCCATTGGGGCAAAGTTAAGGTTAAATATATATACAAAGTGTTTCATATTCGTGGTCCATTAGAAGTTTTTGGGGAAAGGAAAAATACACCGATTTGAAATTTAAAAAAAAATATTTTGAACAAAATCCAGTTTGACCGGAAGTGACATCAACTTTGTCAAATATTCTTCTTGTATTTTATCAAACACCTTTCCTACAGCGTGGAAAAATGCCCACATTATTCCAATACCTAAAATCAGCAACCCCTTAGAGTTTAAACACCTTCGACCTGTAAGTATTTTACCTACACTGTCAAAAATTTTGGAAAAAATTTTACAACGGCAGTTGGTTAGTCATGTTAATGCGTACAATATTCTTCCAGAAAACCAATCGGGCTTAAGACGTCATTATAGTTGCACTACGGCTTTAACTAGGGTGACAGATGATATTCTCAAAAACTGGGATTGCGGAAATTTAACTGCCTTGATATTACTTGATTTTACCAAGGCTTTTGACACAATTCAACATGATTTGTTAATATCAATAATTCATTTTATTGGCCTGGGTAGTAACGCAATAAAATTTCTTTCAAACTATTTAGAATTCCGATCTCAAAGAATTCAAAACAAACTTTCTGATCTTGCTTTTATAATGAGTGGGGTACCACAGGGCTCAATTTCAGGTCCTTTACTTTTCTGTATATATACTAGTAGTTTTTGTAAACTGCATTACTGTTATGTGTATATGTATGCGGACGACACGCAATTATACCTACCATTTAGAAAAGACCTTGCAATTGATAATATTATTTACGATCTTAATATAATAAATGAAGTATCGCGTGAGCATTACCTTTTTCTGAACCCTTCAAAATCCAAAATAATTTTATTTGGGAAGAAGTCCGCTATTACAGAAATAGAACAAGATTTCTCTATACATATTTTTCATAATATTTAAGTTTATAATTGTACAACAAATTTGTAAATGTAGTTTATTTATGAAAAAAAAAACTTTATTATTATTATTATTATTATTATTATAAAATTACTATACCTTATCCTATACCTAAAGAAAATTGTTTACGAGATTAATTTTTTTCGTTAAAATTTGAGAAATGTGCGTCAATCAAAAATAACCTATAACTTTTTCGTTATTAGATTTGCGGATATGGGGGCGAATTTTTGAAAATTTTTGGAAATAACTGAAGATATTCTGTGCCAGGGTGGACATTCCCCCAAAACATACAACGTATCTAAGACGGGACTCAATTTGAGCGTAATATAAGTAATACAACTTTCAAATTATGAAACAAAAATATAATTTTAAGTTGCTCACAATGAAGTTTAAAATTTATATTTTTATCATTATGAAGATATTTATAAACCTATAGGTTTACATTTCCCTTGTCTAGCATGAAACTGTATAATTTGTGTGTTTTTTTTAAACATAATGAATGGAAGTTAAAAAAATGTGATATAAATTTAAGGCATAAATGCAAATTTGCTAATTTTGAAAAAAAAAACAAACCTGTAGGATGTCAACTAGATGAAGCACTAGCTCATTGGAGGCAATAAAATATAAAATTTATTTTAGGAAACATTTTAATCACAAAAAGAATGTGTAACTGTGACAACTTAATAGACAAACAATATTTTAATTAACAATTATTACCAATTTATTTCTAAAGATTTGCTCTTCTTGGCTAATATTAGAAATTGTTAAATATCTCAGAAATTATTTAGTTTTTAAAAGTATAGGGAATAGTTACATAAATAGAAATATTTTTTAATTTTCAATAAAAAATATAGGCTATTTTTGATTGACGCGCATTTGTCAAATTTTAACGAAAAAATTAATAACTCGGAAACTATTTACCTACTTTAGATAAAGGACATGGTTCAGTCATTTTACTCAGAATTTTGGGTAGAATAAAATAATAACAAAGTTGATGTCACTTCCGGTCAAACCGGAAGTGACATTTTGTTGAAAATATTAAAAAAAAAATTCAAATCGATATCTTTTGCCATTTCCCACAAACTTGTAATGTACCACGAACGTGACACACCCTGTACAGTAGTGAGCGGTAAAGGGTTGAAGCCTGAAAGGTTAACTAATAGTCCGGTCGCAAAGGACGGGGCCATAAGTAATTTACATTCTCTTTGCACAACTGCGGTCATCTTACTAATGCATAAGTACATTTGTTCGCCGATTTATGGCCCTTTGTGTATCTATCTGTAGTTTACATTAAATTACCTAAAGGACCCACTATTGATATGCTAAACTGACTTTCTAATCTTCCTCATTTATGATACTGGAAAGGGATGATTTAATAATTAGCCCGTTTGGGTTAATTCTAGATTCCTTTAGGCCATATTAGTATCTGTGATACAATTGCTGTGTGCAGTCCCGGTTGCATAGTATGTACCGATTGCGGCAAAGGCCACGTCGTTTGACGGTGTGGATCACCTGATGTTCTTACATCTCGCCTCTGTTGACTTAACAACCGAGCATATAAGCTGAGGGAGTAATTTGTTTTGATTGTGTTCCACTACACCAAGTTGCCCGACACTGATGAGACCCAATAAAGGTCGAAACAGCTGTCTGTCGGTATTTGAAGTTGGTGGAACGCATTCAAAACAAAAATCTTTGGCGAGGTGTAGGTTCAATTTTTTCTTATTCTTATGAATATTACCAGTGATGGGTCAAGAAAGTTTCTTAAAGAAACTAAGAAAATTGAATGTTTACCTTAATGTTTAGCCCGTTTGGGTTAATTCTAGATTCCTTTAGGCCATATTAGTATCTGTGATACAATTGCTGTGTGCAGTCCCGGTTGCATAGTATGTACCGATTGCGGCAAAGGCCACGTCGTTTGACGGTGTGGATCACCTGATGTTCTTACATCTCGCCTCTGTTGACTTAACAACCGAGCATATAAGCTGAGGGAGTAATTTGTTTTGATTGTGTTCCACTACACCAAGTTGCCCGACACTGATGAGACCCAATAAAGGTCGAAACAGCTGTCTGTCGGTATTTGAAGTTGGTGGAACGCATTCAAAACAAAAATCTTTGGCGAGGTGTACGTTCAATTTTTTCTTATTCTTATGAATATTACCAGTGATGGGTCAAGAAAGTTTCTTAAAGAAACTAAGAAAATTGAATGATTTAATAATTTTTGCTTGAAACTACATTAATACAGTCCTTGTTCCAAAATGCACAATAAACAAATAATTTGTTGTAATTATTTTAATATTAGAATACAAATAAATCTCTGTAACTAAGTAATCAGGAATTCGGGAAACTTTTGAAAGATTTTATTGATGGGTTTTTCAACTTTAAATATTCACTTCGTAAGTTTCTGTTTGGTATATCAATAGCGGGGATATTTTCACGAATATTTGTGTACGATTTCTCGTTGTATCTTCAAGAAATAAAATCAGACTTTGACTTCGCAAACTATCTGAAGTCGAGTCGAAAAACTACACTCTATATGCTTTGTATGATTGAATGTATTGGTTTGGGATTTAAATCTCTTTAAAATACAATAAATAAGTTTTATTTGGTTGTTTTTTTCTAAATATTTATTTCATAAATGATATTATAATTCTCTACATGAAGTCCCATATCTGATCTTACTAAAATTATGGAACTAACTATATTTTGACTTACATAGAAGGTATTATGACTCATTTAAGCCTAATTTAAATTGTTTTTTACGTCTTGTCTTTTTTATGTGTGCCGCCAGTACAATCCCAATTTGGGTTATTTAAGCAAATTATAAAAAAAGAAAACTTACATTTCAAGATTTGTATTGCATACGTGTGTATATAAATGTGTGCATAATATACTTAGTAATAACTAAAAAGACTAAAAACTGCAGATAGTGGAACCCAATTGAACACAACAAATTTATTAATTAAACGACTTTTCTCGGATAAGCATAAAATTATCCATGATTAAAATTAATTTATAGTCAATTTACTGGACACATGTAAAATTATCATGCATTAATAGAAGTAATAACATAAATAAGCCTAATTAACCCGTTATATTTGAAGAGATTGTGAATGAGCTTTAATAAGCGGCTATTTACATCTGCTTGGGAAATGTTGTTAATAAATTAGAAGCTTTTGCCTTGGCTATAGGGTAACACTTGTTATTTTTAAAAATTATATAAATTATTTGCTTAATTAACCATAGGTTTCTTGTTCCAGAGATACATTAACTACTAATATCAATATAAGTGCATATGAGAAAAAAATCATTGATTTCTTATTGGCATACACTGTTAAAAATTTCTATTTTAATTTTACTAAACATGTTTAGGAAGTTTTTATGCACCACAATAAAGTAATAATAAAACTCAGTTTTGTAAATTCACTACACGATTCATTACAACTCAATTTGGGAAAATTACAAGCATTTTATAAAAATTTGTTCAGTAACATTACTATACAGTTATTGTAATTTTGCTAAAAAAAAATACTAAATATGTTTAGTAATTTAAAATTTGTAATTATACTATACAATTTATTTCAACTCAGTTTAAGAAAATTACAAAATATATTTTACAATTTTACTAAACTGTAGAAAATTCGTTTCGCAATATTACAATACAAATATTGTTATTTTGTACAACAAATTACACTAAAAATATTTAGTAATTTACGAATGATGGTATTGTAATTATACAACAAAAAAACCCTGCAATTTTCTTAGTTTCTTCAAGAAACTTTCTTGATCCATTACTGTAAAGATTAAAAAAAAACATTCACCTCGCCAGAGTTTTTGTATTAAGTGCGTTCCACCAACTTCAAATACCGACAGACAGCTAGACAGATAGACCTATTTTGGGTCTTCTCAATGTCGGGCAATTTGGTGTATTGGAACACACCAAAAACGAAAGACATGTCTTTCGTTTTTGGTGTGTTCCAATACACCTGAGCTTATATACTTTCCACCTAAGTCAACCGAGGCGAAATGTAAGAACATCACGTGATTGCCGCAACCGGTAAATACTATGCATTTTACATAACATTATAGAAAATCAAATTACAAACAACGTTTGTAAATCTGAGATGCTTTTTATTAGAAACTGTCAAACTGTGATTTATACATAAACATTGTAAAGTTACAACTCTTAGTATACTAATCTATAGATTTCCTAACATGTTTTGGAAGATTACTCAAATTGTATTATAATTTTTTATATTGCTATACACTGATTTGTAATTTTACTCATCCTTTGTTTTGCAAAACAATTGTAATTTTACAAAAAAATTTAACATTGTACATGATTAAAATGATATATATACAAATATATATAAAATTACAAAAAAAATTGCTATTTGAATTACAATAAGTGTTTGGTAATTTATGTATATATTGTATACAAATCATTATTTATTTTATACAACTTCTGATTGCCTTTTTACTATATATAGTAAAAATGCAAACAGAAGTTGTATAAAATAATAATGATTTGTATATTTCCAAACACTTATTGTAATTCAAATAGCAATTTTTTTTTTGTAATTTTATTGATTATCTTAAAAGTAAAATTAAATTCCGAATATGTATAGAAATTTTACAAAATTTCAAATTCAATTCTATTTACAATAGAGAATTGTAAAATTACTATAAGTATCTGACAAAAACAAAAACATTGTAAAATTTGAACCTGTTTAGTACTTAGGCTATTAATGTAAATGTAATATTATAACAAATTCGTATTAAAATTGCAATACAATACAACATTTTGTAATTTTACTATGCAACTGCTTAGTTAAAATGTAGTAATTTTAGAAAAATTTTTAACAGTGTATGCATTAATTAATCCATATCTTTTAACTATAATGTTGACTGTTATCAACCTAAATCCAATCTCTCATTTTCGTCTGAAAGATCCGGCAAAAATTTTTTTTTGCTTCCGAAAAATAATGATTGTCAAATGAGTATAAAATATTTCTGTAGCTCTACAAAGAAGGTATGCTGTGTTTAATTGATAACTCCAACCGTCGAGAAGATATTCGTTCAGTATGCATTGGGATTTGGATGTTTTTAATAATTTTTTTTATAGTTGACTTCATTTGTTTCACAGAACATAATAATTCATTATCACAACTCATTTTATTTCATTTTTATTTTTTTAACATTTTGTGAAACACTTAGCTTGATATATAAAACATTTCATGCATGAAATGTTTTACCCATGGGTAAATATAGATTTTAGGTTTTTAATATTTTAAGGGTTTCAATATTCATGCCATGTCAATTAGTCAGCAAAGGTGTACTTAAATTATGACGTGTTTTGAATAAATGTCACTAATGACTTATGGCACACATGTGTTACCTCCCCTAGCATTTCAGCGTTGGCATCCCTGATAAATATTCAGGGATGGATTGGCGACACGAAAAGAAATTGCCTATTTCGAAAACATTAGAACCCTTTCAGCGGCGAAATTGATAAAAAATTGATATATAATATATTAAAGCTTTATAATTGGGATGATTTAAGCCACTTTGAAATGTCACAACCAAGAACAAAAAACATTTAATTAGTTTTTCAGCTCGATAATTTTTTCGCAGGCGAGATTATGGGAGAAAAAAGTTTACGTCACTTAAATTTAAAAAGTTAGATGAATTTTTAATTAAGCGAATCTCTTAATATTAATTAGATACTGAAGCCATCCGCAAAAGTTGAGAAAACGTCGCAAAGTTTAAAAATGTACGTTTTCATTAGTGCATTAAAGATGTTGCGTGAAAACGTTTGCTGTTCAAGTTTTTACTGATTAAAACAACCCATGAATCATGCAAAAGGGAAGTCAGAGTAAATTTTAAGTTGTATTTATAAGAACGAAAGTGGAAACAAAAAATAAATCCTCAATTTCCCCCCTGAGATGAGAAGTGTTTCTTAGTTTTGTCACTTTTGGGATTCTTAAAATGGAATATGCTTCTGAAAACGGGTGAATAATACATGATATCCCCCATATCCCGAAAATGTATTGCTTCGGGGTATAACACACAAACACAGCCCCTGCTATAAAATAGTTTTTCTTATATTTGCCAGATGACTCAGGCATAAAATATTCTAAAAATATTTTATTAGGTCAACAAGCATTTCATTATTCAAAACCCGGCTTTGTCATATAATAAATCAATTATCGAGGAAAATATTTTCCTGGAAAATTGTTAAGAAAGACAGGACTGTCATAGGGATTCAACCAATAATCCGTAATAAGGTAAAAGAGGGTCGGTTTAAAATCAATTTGAAAGAGCTCTGGATTTATGTTTTGATGAAAAATAATTGGAAGCCATAAGAGACACAGCATGCCGTGTAATTATGACACTTGTTAGAGTTAAGTACCTGCCAGTTTTTTCATTCACAATTTACTACTCGTATTACTGCGTTTTCTTTAAGCTTATTTGCATACATAAAAGCATTTCTGTTCGCTTGCATTATCATAATAACCAAATTAGTCAACACCTTGCGTATAATTCTACAATTTCCTACGTCGCTCGGTTAATTAATATTACTTAAGGCTCAGATATTTTATTGACCATCCTCACAGAACTATGGCCATCCTTCAGATGTAAAACGATGAATTTAAAGTTTTTAAATCCTATTAAAAGATGTTTTTTATATATTATGTATCAAGTTTAATAAACGCCATTTTAGTCACCAATTTAATTTTGGCACGAGCCAGCTTGTTTAAAGGAGTTGCATACTATACTTTGTCTACGACAAGTACTTAATATTATGTAAAAAATTATTTAAATTAAATCTTTTTATAAAGCGACATCTATACGAAAATAAAGTAACCATCCCAATAAACATTTTCGACGTATTTTTCAACGTCAAAATTTCCCGTTATTATTTATTAAAAAAATATTAAAATAACTTTAATGATTATGTTAAAAAAATAATTTATCATTTAATTTTTTTATTTCTTTAATTGCAAAATATTATCACAAAGTATTAAACATTCTTACACTGGAAATGCTAGGTACAAAAAGTGTATTTATTGGAATTTCTGTAAGAATTTGTAACTTGGGAATCAACAGGCGTTAACATCTCAAATTTTTATGTGTAAAACAAAATTTATACCTTAAAATAGACAAACAATCAATATATAAGCAGTTTTTCAAGTAGAAGAGAATTTTTATTGAGCACTGTACGCAAAATGTATAACGCTTTATCAGTTAAATCTAGTTAACTGCACTACTACGGAGAAATTAAAAGGACAGTACAAACGTTCCCAAGTAACATTTTTTAAGAAAGGTAGTTTTAATAATGGTTTTATTGTTGCACAAAAAAGAAACGTTTTTTTATTAAAGCAATATATTTTTCTAATGAGACTGCAGGATAAAATACTCTTCAAGAAATGTTTTATAGAATATTTTAAAACTATATGATAAAGCTGTTTTGTTTTAAAATCGAGTTTGTTTTAATACGGTTTTATGTGCATTAATTAATATGCTACTTTAAAATTCTTTGGTTCTATAGTGCTCTTAAGGAGTACAAGGGTTTAAAGCAGCCATAAAAAGCTAATATCCTATGATTGTTTTTAAATTGAGCTTTAAGAAGTATTTTAAACCAGTGTTTTAAACCATTTTACACTGAGAACCTTTAAGACAAATCTTTGGGCCCTTTAAAACGGTTGGTCTAGAGCTCAAAAGTTACTAAACTTATAACAATTTTAAGGGTAGGTATATAAATAGGTACTTATGACTTTTTTATTAAGGTAACCTTATTTTTTTGTTGTGTCGATGTCGATGTTGATAGACAAAAATTAAAAAAGTGGTAATTGTTATCACATTTAATAGTATATTATGTAGAGAAGTTTATAAAACGAGTTGCATACTATGTTTTATCTACGACAAACACAAAGAATTTAAAGCCAATTTTATTTGTGAAACATTTGACATCTGTCAACTTTTAACTTTAACTTCAGACCGTGACTAAAATGCCCAAAAGCCACTATTTTCTAACTTAAGCCCGTGACTAAAACGCCATAATTGGCCTTTTTTGGAAAAACAAAACCAGCCGACACAAAATAAAAATAAAACTCGCATTAAATCACGCAATGCGGGTTGCCCATTTTGTAGTTTTAAGTATAACTTGTTTTATGAAAGAAAATATTTAAGCCAAATTGTTTTAAAACATTGATGTAACTTATCGCTATTTTATACCAAAAACGTTTAATAGGTATTGAATTAAATAATTTTCACATTTAGTATTATTTTACAAGAAAGGAACTTTATTTTAACGATTTCATGACATTTGACAACGGTCAACTAACTTAAAACTAACTTCAGCCCGTGACTAAAGCGCCATAAAGCCACAATTTCTCAATGTGTATTTAAAAGGTTACTTAGTGTCAAGAAAACATGTAAGTACGAAAGATGGGAGTAGAAAAATAAATTTAAATATAGTTTAAGAAAAAAGTACAAAACCTTTAAAGCAATATTTATAAAACAACAAATGCTTTACTGTGGCTTTTGACGCCAAACACACTAATTGTAATAATCCGGGACTAGGAAATTATTGACAGGAAATTTCTTAAATAATCCGAAAATAATAAGCCACGCTGCCCCGATAAATTAAACCTTAATAAATTGACAAAATCCGATACAAGAAGAATTAGAAATTCGAGAGTGGCGTGAAACACATGGCATTGAAGTATGGCGGAGACGTGCCCCAATATCGGCGGGGGAAAAGGGGGAGAAGGGCCGCAATTAGCAGGGTAGACGAGAATGTCGGGAATTCCGGCCGGAAATGGTCCCCCCGAAAACGCTGTCACTGCTTCTGCATTTTCGGGCGACGAGTGCGGTTTTGGATTACGCGCTGCTAGGGCGCAAAAATATGCAAAATACCATTTAAATCCATTCGCAATAACGGGATTATTCGATGGTATGTCTACGACTTTCGAAATTTGACATGGTATTATCGAAATTTGTTCCAAGGATTTCCCAGGATTTACATTCCTTTCCAAAGATAATCTTTATTAAAAAAATCGTGTAAAATAGATGGGTGGTACATTTTTTATTTATTTTGCTCTTCCTTATTTAAAAGATTTGTACCCTTATTTTCAAATCCGGTTTTGCTGATTAAAAATTCCGAAAAAGTTTAGTTAATATACATACATCTAAGGTTTTACATTTATTTAATTTGTATTTTTTTAATATTGTCATTATTTTAGCTTAACGTACTTGCTTGTCATCATTTTCACCATAGAAATAATACTATTATTTCTATGATTTTCACCTGTTATATTTTATCTTGTTATCATTTTAGCTGGTCATCATTTTAGTTTGTCATGTAGTAGGGTTTTAATTTTTTAGCTTATTAAAATTAGTTTTTAGTTATTTAAGATCAACGTCATTTTTGCTTGTCATCATTTTACGTCATTATTTTAGCTTGTCATCATTTAATATAATTTAAATAAATACCTAGGTAATTTTTTTTGTCATGTTATAATTATTTTATCTTATCAATGTAGGGTTTTATTTTTTTAGCTTATCATCATTATTTTGTCGTTATATAAGATCAACATCATTTTTCTTGGTATCATTTTACGTCATTATTTTAGATTGTTATCATTTTAGTTGGTCATCATTTAATTTAATTTAAATAAATAGGTAATTTTTTTATGTTGTGATTATTCTAGCTTATTAATATTTTATCTTGTCATTATTTTAGCTGGTCATCATTTTAGTTTGTCATGTAGGGATTTTGATCATTTTAGCTTGTCATCATTTTATCTTGTGGTTATTTAAGCTTAACGTTATTCTAGCTTATATTTTATCTTGTCAACATTTTAGCTTTTTATTATTTTAAATTGCCATCTTTTTAGCTTGTTATTTGAGCTTTTAATTTTTTAGCTGATCATATATGCATAATTAATTTATTTTATTTTAGATAACGTCACTTGAGCTTGTTATCATTTTAGCCTGTCATTATTTTAGCTTATTTTTAATTTAGCTGGTTATCATTTTAGTTTGTAATTAAGGGGTTTAAATTCTTTAGCTTATCATAATTAGCTTAATTTTAGCTCAACATTATTTTTGTTTGTTAGCTCTCTAAAAATGAAATAGTCAAAATTCTACTATTTAAATTAGTACCAGCATTTTTACTAATAAAATAGTCGTTTTTACTTTTAAATAGTTATTTTTTACGACTATTTCTGAGAGTTAAAAGTAACTAATTTCTTTAATCGTTTGCGGCCAAAACAAAGTATAATTTGAATTAAATGCATATACCTAAGCTCCATGGTTAAATGACCTATAAAAACGAATAAAAATGCAAAAAGTTTAGCTCAGAACAGCAACTCAAATAATATTCAACTTTAAAATATTATGAACAATATTTATTGACAAATAAAATTGATTTTTATAAGAGCGGCTGATACTCGAATGGGTTATGACAACAGCTTGACAAGTGACAGACCTGAGTTCAATACCCGGCTGGGTAATTTGACTATTTCATTGAGTAGAATTTGACTAATTATTAGTGACTGCTTTTTCGCTATGACAATAAGTCAAATATTAGTTATTTTTGACTAATTCATTTTAAGAGAGAGGATGATTTTAGAATGGTGTGTTATTTAATTGTGTGTATGTTATTTTTGTGTTCATTTATTTAGGTGTGTGTATGTTATTTTCATTTGGGTTTCCAATTTCCAACAAATAATAATAAAAGTTTGTAAAAATAAGGTCCTTTTTAAAAATTACAAGAATTATGGTTGACTTATAAGTTATAACATAAAGTTATGTGGACCTGGATTAACATAAAATCTGATTAATATATGGTTAAAATTAAGAAATATTTTTTTACTGTGTAAAAGAAGATAAAAAGCACACATGTGTTTTAAAATCCTATTTCTAGGAATTTCTCTAGTTAGCGTCATCAAATTATCAGCGAGACCGTAAAAGCGTTTTTTAACTTTGAATTTATTTTTACAAAAGTAACGAGGAGCCTTTGTGGCTCTGAAGGCAAAGAACAATGCATCCATCAACGGCAAACAACAATCTATCTAATTAGAAGACCGAATTAGTTCCAGGTGTGTAACAATACAACTATTCTCGTTCTCTCCCCCGCTTCGAGAGCTCGCTCTTTATGTCATCGTGCGCAGCAAATTGCAAACGACAAAAATCACCAGCTCCGGAATAACAAACCGAAGAAATGACATCATACGAGGCTGGTCTTGACGGCCGCGGAATCTAGAGACCGTTGCTAATTGCGCTGCGTAGGCTTTTCATATGGTCACGGCAGGCTTTTCTTCGTTAGCTCTGTTTGTTTGTTTGTTTTTCTGATAAAAATGCTTCGTAATTAATTTAACAAGATTTAAAAGACGTCTACACAACGAATCGTCCTTTGATTTTCAGAAATTACCATACCCTTTAGGAAATGCAAAAACAATTGTGTTCGTGAGAACTGTTTGATTCAAAAAATGATCTTAAAAGATAATATTTAAGTCAAGCTCAAGAAAAATAGATGAAGAAAGACTAAGGAGTTTTATCAAAACGAATGCATCATAAAAAACATGTTTCATGGTGTTATAAATAGTATCTATGGATTGCGAATCTGAATTCTCTTAAGCCGGACAATGAGATCGATTAATCGGATTGATCTATAGGCAGCGGGATCCCCGTTGTGGCCTATTATAGAGCAGCTGTTCAAGTGATTTTGCTAGATTTATGTCCATAGATTTAGATTGTACAGCGGCTACAGTATAAGAGAAACAAAATTACAAGCTTTGCTTAAGGATATATTCGGATCTAAGCGGAGCAAAATCAAACAACCAATTTTAGTCATTATTTATATTCAATGTTATTCTATTTTTTATTTACATAAAAATTTAAAAAAAAAACTTTTTTGTGTCGAATGCTAGAATGGTGTCAAGCTTAAATAATGACCCGCTAATATAATAACACGCCAAAGATAAAATAACGAAAAAATAATTTTGGTAAGCTAAAAAAAAATTAAATCCCAAATCAAAAACTAAAATGATGAAAAGCTCGAATGACGTTAAGCTGAAATAACGACAAATTAATTATGATCAGCTAAAATACTAACAAACAAAAATTATGCTTAAGCTAATCATTTTAGTTTGTCATTTGGAGTTTTAATTTTTTTAGCTTAACTTGAAGAATTGCTAAGCAAAACGTTTCAAAGAGTACAGTTTGGAAAATAATAAACAAACAACTTTAAATCCTCAAGATCTTCCACGTAGACTAGAATTCTAGAAACCAAATTAATTTGCATACACACAGTCGAGTTGAGTGTAGTAAGTCCATCCCCAAAAGTTAAAAGACATTAAAATCTCCTCACCCAACGAGTTTCATCGTTGCATGAAAACGTGCACACTTCACGCAAGTCGTAAATCGCCAAATTAATAGGTCCAAATTGGAACAGACACTCACTATAAATACTCTCGAATTATCCAATTGTAAATTCACCCCAGTGGGCGTGGTGGCATGGAAAAAATCCACGGCCCCCCCGATGTAACTAATTAATGGCCCACTTGCTACTAATCGATACGTAATCGCCCCTATTGACCGTGGGGCTGGTGAAAAAAGTCGCCCTGTGTGATGGAGGATGTGTGCAATCGAGGAAAGATGCGCAAATAAGGGTAGGTGTTTTAAATTATTGAGGATTTCCCCCCACAGTAGAGGACAAATATTGGAATACGGCGGAAAATTGAAGCTGCAGGCGGTGAGGGAAAAATCATTTTCCTCGAATAAAAAAAGTTTATAAAGCCTTATAGGTTTATATATTGCTGTTTTTGAGGCTGTCATTATATAAGCTGCTTAATTTTAATTTATTATTTTAGATTTTTGAAATTTTGTTTGATTCCTTATTATCAGCTTATTATCTTGTTACCATTTAAGCTGATCATAATTTTGGCTTGTCGTCATTTAAGCGTGTTATTATTTTAGCTTTTCATCATTTTGGCTACTATTATTTTAGCTAGTCTTTATCTCGCCACAGCTTTCATTATTTCATCATTACATTTAGCTTGACAATATTTGAGCTTGCCATAATTGTCATCATTTTAGTTTGTGTAGGTTTTTAAAGTTTATCATTCTAGCTGCTCATAATTTTAGCTTTTTATTATTTATTATTATTTTTATAAGTTTGTCATTATTTTAGATATTTAAAATCTTGCTTCATATCATATTAGCTTTTTATGATTTTTGCTTCTCATTTAGCTTGTCATCATTTTTAATATTTGAAATTTTGCTTGATATCATACTAGCTTGTCACTGTTTTAACTTCTCGTCCTTTTATCGTGTCATCAGTTTATCTGGTAACCATTTAAGCTGGTCATAAATTTGGCTTGTGGTAATTTTAGCGTGTTATGATTTTAGCTTGTCATCATTTTAGCGTGTTATTATTTTAGCTTGTCATCATTTTACCTTGTCATAATTTTAGCTTGTCGTCATTTTAGCTAGCCATTATTTTAGCTACTCTTTATCTTGCCACAGCTTTCATTATTTTATCATAGCATTTATCTTGACAATATTTTTTGCATGTCATCAGTTTATCTCGTAACCTTTTAGCTGGTCAAAATTTTAGCTTGTTATTATAGCTTGTTATTATTTTTAGTTTGTCATCATTTTAGCGGGTTATTGTTTTAGCTTGTCAACATTTTACCTCGTCATGATTTAAGCTCGTCGTAATTTTAGCGTGTCATCAGTATATACCGTAACCATTTAAACTGGTCATAATTTTGGCTTGTCGTCATTTTAGTTTGTTATTATTTTAGTTTGTCATCATTTTAGCGTAATATTATTTTAGCTTGTCATCATTTTACCTTGTCATAATTTAAGCTTGTCGTAATTTTAGCATGTCATCAGTTTATCCCGTAACAATTTAAGCTGGTAATAATTTTGGGTTGTCGTCAATTTAGCGTGTTATTATTTTAGCTTGTCATCATTTTACCTTGTCATAATTTTAGGTAGCCATTATTTTAGCTACTCTTTATCTTGTCACAGCT